ACTAGGAAACTATTTCAAAATTAGTAAATTTGACTTAACTCCCAATTTAACAAATTCAAACTAGCGTGTCCACACTACAGGGAAGCCTCGAAATTAGGGTTATTCCAGGGCAAGAAAGGGTACAAATTCTGCGGGCTTTTCAAAGCAGAAAACTGAGGAGGGGAGGGATGGGGAATTAGGGAATCTGATAACTCTGGAAATGCACCTCTGTAAAAAAACATCCCACTAGTCCTTATCCCTGGATTTTATCCTGACATCCAGCATCAGAGTATCTAATCATCTGCCATGCAAAAATCACATTAGGGGTGACTGGGTACTGGTTATCCAATAAGCATTAGTCTTGCCAGAATGCTTACCCAGTAACCGGTTAATCGCAGGGCCAAGTGGAGGGAGCCTTTCTCGTCCCCACGGCGTGGCTGAACCCCGGTCGGCAAGAGCAGGTCCTCACCCGTGGCAGACTGGCCCAATCCCAGCCGCACATTTTACCAGTTACATAATTACAGTTCAATAATTAACTGGCTTAAATGGATTTTTACATCCCAACAGCCCCCACAAACATCTCCTCATGTACTTCATGGTGTCACTAGCTCTTCTCCCTTCAGGGGGTAAAAACTGCTTGAGATTCTCTTTTTAGCTGTTTGCGGTTGGCTGATGTGTGGCGACTCATTCCCGCTCTCGTGGAGCAGAGTTCTCAAGAAGAAGGTGTTTGCAATCTTTCCTAAAGACAAGCAGACTCCGAACGTGCATAATCTTCTCTGACAGTCTGGTCCGTTGGTGGGTCCCTGCGGCTGAGAATGCTTTCGTCCCCAGCTCTCACATTCTCAATCCTGATCCTATTGCATTTACCCAAGATGTAAAACCATTCTTTAAGGATGAAAGACCTAATGCAGGGGTGGGCAATAATTTTTGATTGGGGGCCACTCCAAGAATTTGGAAAGTTGTTAATGGAGGAGGTGCAGGGTCTGGGATGGAGGCTGGGTACAGAAGGGAGCTTGGGGGAAGGGAGGGAATTAGGGTGAAGGAGGCAGTTGTGACCTGCGGCACTGGAGTTGGGTGAAGGAGGCAGTTGTGACCTGGGGCACTGGAGTTGAGTGCACGGGGTTGGATTGTGACCTAGAGCAGGGAACGGGGGCACAAGAGAGGGTGCAGGGATTTGGGTTGTGAGGTTGGGCAGAAGGAGACTGATCAGGGGCAGGAATTGGGGTGCTCGACTGGGAGGAGGTATGGGTACAGGAAGCAGGGGGTTGGATTGTGACCTAGAGCAGGGAACGGGGGTACAAGAGAGGGTGCAGGGATTTGGGTTGTGAGGTTGGGAAGAAGGAGACTGTGATCGGGGGCAGGAATTGGGGTGCTCGACTGGGAGGAGGTATGGGTACAGGAGGGAGGGCAGAGGATTTGGGTATGTGGAGTAGGGGGGAACAAGGTTGGGGAAGGGAAGGGCTGGGTTGCCAGAGGCAAGGTCTGCCAGGAGACTTACCAGCCAGCAGCCCATTCCTGAATCAGCCCCCCTGCCTGCTCCGCCCCGCATACGCTGCAGCCATGTGCTCTGTGAATAACTAGGAGCCCCTTGTGCTTCGTGGCTGCCTCTTATTGAAACAGGCAGCTCCCATTGGCCAGTTTCTGGCCAGAAGCTGGCCAGCGGGATTATACTGGGGGTGAGAACAACTCCTAAAGCTTCCCCCTCTCCCATCTGGGCTCCGTTTTTAAAGTGAAACCACGCCGCAGCTCTGTTTCTTAGTGGCGTGCAGGTGGGGCGAGGCAGGCGGGGAGCCTGCCTGGGCTCACTGTAGCATCCGCAGGCTGGATCTGGTGGCTTGGTGGGCCAGATGCGGCCCATGGGCCGTATTTTGCCCAGGCCTGATCTAATGCATTCCATTCTGATGCTTCCCCTGCCCCCATCTATTGCACTTTCTGCTCAGAATGAGGAACTGGTACCACTGTTCTCCGGGATGCTGTTAGTATTATTATAATATATACCTGGTAGCACCAAGGCGCCCCAGTAGAGATGGAGTCCCGCTGTGCAAGGCACTGTACATACACAAAGACAAGCCCCACCTTAGGTAATTTACAATGTAAGTAGGCAAGGCAAACAAAGGAAGCATTTTTATCTCCATTTTACAGATGGGTAACGGAAGCACGGAGACCAATTTCAAAGGGAGCTTAGTACTAAAATACCTTTAAAAACATGAGTCTTAGTGACCTGCCCAAGGACAGTCTGCAACAGACCCAGAAACTGAAACCCGATCTCTCAAGTCGCAGTCCAGTGCCTTAACCATTAACAGGACCCCACGCAGTGCTGTAATTCACCATTCCTCTAACAGCGCCTCGATTTCTGACTTCCCAAAGAGTACTAATGGTGAAGTACAGAGCTAGAAGTTTTAGTGGCATTTCAAAGTGTTTTTCTTTTCCAATTTCTTCCTTAATATCAACTTTGCCACTTGCTGAAGGCGATTTTAATATGATAATGTATCCATCCACTTGGAACAGGCAGGCAAAATGCTCTGTGATGACAAGCCAACACCTTTTTCATCTGCTATATTTACCTTATCCCACAATCAGAGCTATGCAAACAGTCTCCTGCCCAAACCTGCCCCTGTCAAGGTTTCGTTTGGGATTCTCACCGCTTGCAGTTCGGTGTATACCTTCCAGCCTTTGGTCTGAAATCCATCCAGGAGGAGAAGGCATCTTTTAACAACTCCCTGCTTTTTGCCCTCCCCCATGAGTTCCTCAGCAGGGAGAGGCAATTCGGAATGGATTCTGAAGAACTGTTTTTATCTTTGTGGGTGGGAAAGGATGGGAATCCCCCCTCCCCCACGTTTGTTTGTAATTCTGATCACACATTTTATGTCTGTGAAATCAAGCAAAGAGGCTCTGGGAGGGAGAGGGAGGATTCAGTGAGCTCTGGGAAGGGAGTGGAAAGAGGCAAGGTGGGAACCGAGGCTTGGGGGGGAAGGGGAGGAGTAGGGCGGTGCAGGCGCAGGAAGAGTTGGGGCAGGAGTTTGGGTAAAGGGGCAGAACCTAGAGAGGGAGTGCTGAGGGGGTGCGCATGTGCATATACACACACACACACACACACACACACACCTAGAGCAGAAGCTGGCACCCACGGACGTGTCCTTCAGATTTCAAGAGCCCATCCAACTTTACATACGCTTGTCTCTCTGAAAAGATGACCCAGTGATTCTTGGGCTAACTGGCAGCTGGCTCAACACTTTGGAGCAGGCTTAGAGATTCATTTCTTACTGGTTTTTCAATCAGAGAATCCTAGAACACTAGAAGTGGAAGGGACCTCGTGAGATCATCAAGTCCAGTCCCCTGCCCTCACAGCAGGACCAGGGATGTTAAATATCGGTTAATTGAATAGTCGATTAACCTCATGAATTCATATTGGTTACTCATCTATTCTATAGTCCCAGTGCATGGGGTATGTATCAGAAGCAGCAGGGTGCCAGGAGGGAGATGGTCCATGAGGGGAGCCAGTTTAAAAACCAGCTCCCCTCGTGAACCAGATGCTTATCCCCCCGTGCTGCTGCCTCTGATCCAGAGGCAGCAGTATGGGATGCCTGCAGGCTGAGCTTCTGGACCTGGCATGAGCTGGAACTGAGCTGGGCTGCCTGACTGCCTGGCTCCTAATACACTTTAAATGCAGAGCCACAACAGAGGTAGGTCCCGTACAAGGCGTAAGCCAGGACTAAGCCAGGCTGCTGACCAGCCTGCTAAAAAATGTACTGGTAGGGGTGGGGGAATGTGTGTTGTCTATAGCATTAACCTATAAGCTTTTGCTTATCCATTAATCGACTACACTATTACATCCCTAAGCAAGACCAAGCTCCATCTACATCAGGGGTGGGCAAAGGGACCTCCAAGGGCCGGATCCGGCCTGCCAAGCCAGTGGATCTGGCCCGCGGCCACCCTGCCACTCCCCCAGCCCCAGGCCAATCGAGAACTGGGGACAGGAGAGTCCACCAAGCCTCTCCCCGCCAAGGGTGCACAGTGGCTAGAGAGGCCTGATTGGCCTGGGGGAAGGAGAGGCACATGAGATCTCCTCCTGCTGCAACATCCTCTCTATGTGCTGAGGGTGGAGAAGAGGGAAACTTCATATGCACCCCCACCTCTAGGAAAACCAACGGTCTGTGGGTGGGAGAGCCCCGCCCCTTCCAGCTGAGGCCCCGGCCCTTCTAAGGCGGCCCGGGGCTACTTCAGAAATTTGTGAAGTGGTCCCCTTTAAAAATTATTGCTCATCCCTGATCTAGATCATCCCTGGTCGATGTCTATCCAACCGGCTCTTAAATATCTCTAGTAACAGATTCCACAACCTCCCTAGGCAATTGATTCCAGTGTTTAATCACCCTGACAGTTAAGAAGTTTTTCCTAATGTCCAACCTAAACCTCCCGTGCTGCAATTTAAGCCCATTGTCTTTTGTCCTATCATCAGAGGTCAAAGAGAACAATTTTTCTCCCTCCTTCTCGTAACACCTTTTTAGGTATTTGAAAGCTGCTCTCATGTCCTCTCTCAGTCTCCTCTTTTCCAAACTAAAGAAATACAATTCTTTCAGTCTTCCCTCACAGCTCATGTTTTCTAGACCTTTAATCATTTTTGTTGCTCTTCTCTGGACCTTCTCCAGTTTCTCCACATCTTTCTTGAAATGTGGTGCCCAGAACTGGACACAATACTCCAACTGGGGCCTCATCAGCACCGAGTAGAGTGGAAAAATGACTTTTCGTGTCTTGCTCACAACACTCCTGTGAATGCATCCCAGAATCATATTTGCTTTTTTTGCAACAGTGTCACGCTCGTGACTCCTACCTAGACAGTCGCTTCCCATTCTGTATGTGTGAGTCCTTCGTGGCAAATGAATCATTGGTGACTAAAAGGTGGGAGTCACTAGTAGCCGTCAGCTGGTAGCTGCGTAACATTTGTCTTTGGCAAAGCATCCCACCACGCCAGCTAGCCCGGGTGGGATCCTCCTCCTAAGTTCCCGTGCTAAGATCCCTCTTACCTGCTCTGAGTAAGATGACTTGGTCATCCAAGGGCAGTTCTGAAAAATGGGGAATTCGCTTTGCCCATTCCACCAAGGTGAAGAGCTGTTTGTCTGCTGCTTGGCATATGTTGGTTACCGGGTCATTAGGCTGCAAAGAAAAAAGACTTACAATGAGGCAGAACAATGGAGCACAGGACGATGAACAGGGACCAGAGAAGATCCTTTCTGAGGAAGCTGAGGAGCAAGATCAAGTCTCTCACAGCTCACTACGCTGCAGTAGAGTGACTCAAGATGAAGACTCGTGGGTCTGGCTATTTATGACCCCAGGCTAGGCACCTCACTACCACAGTGTAGTGCCAGGCTGTGGGGTGGCAAAGCAAAACATTTAATATTTGCCTTAAAGGAGGAAGTTTAAGGCAACACACCAGCTGAAAAATGGAACGTGGCCACCTGTCCACACAAAACGAGCCGTTCTGACACTGAGAGTTAATGGATTCATCTCTGGCCACTCCGGATATAGATTCCACCTACTGTACTACTGCTATCCCATTACACAGAGACCTGGAAATTCGGAATAGGCATGAGATATTGCCTGAGCCTAAGATCAGCCAAATTGGCTTTGTCCTGTGGGTGCTGAGCAAGCTGGCCTGAGAGAACCCTTCAAAGCCACCTATCAAATTCTGAAAGCTTAGGCATGGCTGTCTAGAGCAGTGGTTCTCAACCATGGGCCATATAGCTCCCCAGTGGCGACGCCCTACCTCTAGGGGGCCACGTGGAAAAACCAGAACATTAGGTAAATTATGGACCTTTTTTTCCAACTAACAGCAGCTATGAGGGGGGCCAGAGAGGTAAACGAGGCTCAGAAGGGAGCCATGAGCAAAAAAAGGTTGAGAAACACTGGTCTTCTAGACCAGTGTCTCTGGTCTCAAAGGCCATGTCTACACTGTGGAGCTATTTCAGGATACTGGAAATATCCCAAAATAGCTATTCCGCGTCTATTGAAGCAGCCCGTTATTTTGAAATATATTTCGGAATAGTGCTTTATTTCAAAATTTGGTGCTATGTAGCCAGCGCCAAGTGACGAAGTAAGTTATTTCGAAATTAACCCGAAATAAGCTATGCAAATTGAGTAACACAAACTGCAAAGCTTATTTCAAGGTATGGGTGCTGTGTAGACACACCCGAAGCCTCTCACATCTTCATACTTACAACCTGCATTACAATCACACCCCTAGGGGGCAATGCAGATGATGGTCCCATATCTTAAGCATCGTATCTACACCCAGTGAGAGACAGGCCTGAAGAGATCTCTGTCTAAGCAGACAAGACAGACCAAGAGCGAGAGGGAAAGATGAGGACGAGAAAGATGCATGACTTGTGCAAGACAAGCCATCAGCAGCGTTCTGACGTCCAGCCCGGTGTCTTGTCCACCAGATAGACCATGCTGCCTCTCAATACCAGACTCGAGCTTAGCAAAGGGCAGCCTAGGCTTGTGAGTGGGCTGCATGGTGAGCTCCATTTCTGTCGCTGCAAGACTGTTGTAACTAAGAGGGTCTCCCGGGATATGGTTGGTTCTGCTAACTGTGCTTGAGTTCCTAGAATTTGTGGGGGAGGATGCTGACTGAACCATACATAACATAAGAACATAAGAATGGCCATGCTAGGTCAGACCAAAGGTCCATCAGGCCCAGTATCCTGTCTGCCGACAGTGGCCAATGTCAGTTGCCCCAGAGGGGGTGAACAGAACAGGTAATGATCAAGCCATCTCTCTCCTGCCATCCATCTCCCTCCTCTGACAAACAGAAGCTAGGGACACCATTCCTTACCCATATTGGCTAATAGCCATGAATGAATTCAACCTCCCTGAATTTATCTAGTTCTCTTTTAAACCCTGTTATAGTCCTAGCCTTCACAGCCTCCTCAGGCAAGGAGTTCCGCAGGCTGACTGTGCGCTGTGTGAAGAAGAACTTCCTTTTGTTTGTTTTAAATCCGCTACCCATTAATTTCATTTGGTGACCCCCTAGTTCTTATATTATGGGAACAAGTACAGGCAGTCCCCGGGTTACGTACAAGATAGGGACTGTAGGTTTGTTCTTAAGTTGAATTTGTATGTAAGTCGGAACTGGTACATATTGTAGGGGAAATTCTAGCCAAACATTTCTCCATAGCTCAGTTTTATTCTCCCACACCTCACTTCCCTCAGTCCTTTATTCTCAAGCTGAGGTGTCTGCTGAGAAAAGCCGCTCCGCGTCTCCCTGGTCTGCTGGGGGGAAGCAGCTAGTGCGGGGTTGCCTCACCCCGTTTGTAAGTAGGGATCCGATGTAAGTCGGATCCATGTAACCCTATGGGAGCAAGTAAATAACTTTTCCTTATTCACTTTCTCCACCCCACTCATGATTTTATAGACCTCTATCATATCCCCTCTTAGTCTCCTCTTTTCCAAGCTGAGAAGTCCTAGTCTCTTTAATCTCTCCTCATATGGGACCTGTTCCAAACCCTTCATCATTTTAGTTGCCCTTCTCGGAACCTTTTCTAATGCCAGTATAACTTTTTTGAGTTGAGGAGACCACATCAGTATGCAGTATTCAAAATGTGCAGCGCTTTGACTGGATGCAGAGGGAGCGCCTGGCTCTCACAGTCAATGTTGTGAGCAATCAGCTGCACCTCACTTCACGCGCCCTGGCTTTACATGCATGTCACTTTAGTAATACTGGTAGGAAAAAACCTAAGCAAATGGAAACCAGGGAATCTGGCAAGCCTGTGCATGGGCAGAGGTAAAATGTCTCCCGGGCCACACCTAAAACTAGACAGGCTGCAAGTTGTCCACCTGCTTGAACTGGTGCTGCTTGGGTTTCAGAATCATTGCCTGTACCAAGCAGACACAAAAAGAAAGAGGAAAGAAAAAGGCTTCTTCTCCCAGATTCCTCCTGCAGGGGATGGAACAGTTCACACGTTCCAAGTGTCAGAATGCCGTAATTCACCGAAACACAACAATGGGGGCACTAATGCAAGAGAAAAAAAAAACCTTTCCCTTGAAAGCCTACCCAGTAACAAAAACCATCTGCTCGTTAGTTGGACAGGCAGCCTAAACAGACCAAATCCCTGTTTAAAGGAACTGCTAACAGCTCAAGTGGGATTGTGATTACAAATTGGATGAGACTATCCAACCCTCGAGAAAAAGTAAGAAAAAAAATTGTCCACTATTTCTTTTACAGCTCTGATCGTGTATGTCTATCTATAAAGATATATGCACACACTACCATTCCTCTAAAAATATGTGCGTGTCTGTCTATACATACCTAGCACCATTCATCTCCATTTAGTAGCCACACCTTTTACTTAGAGCAATTGGTTCCCTCGATGTCCTTAAAACACTGCACAAAACTGGAGTATGTGTCCTTAATTATTTCCTTTGGAGCTCATGGGAAAATCACACGAATCTGGTGCAGTTTATATATCAGACAGACTTTGGTGTTTGCTTTCCATTTTGAGACCGATTCTGCCACCATTAACCACTATGTTCAGGGATAAAGAAGGAATTTTTTTCACAACTGACCAGAGGTTTGCTGGTGATGTGTTGGGTCTCTCCCCCCCCCCTTTTCTGTCTGAAGCATCAGAAATTGCCTATTGCTAGAGGTGGGACCCCAGCAGGTTGGTTCAAGGTTCTGAGGTGGTACAGAAAGTTCTCTCTCTTTGTCTCTGGCTGACATGCCTTGCTCACATGCTCAGCGGCATGTTGATGGACAGATTTGGGAGCCGGAAGGAATTCCCCCTCCGAGTTCAGATGGGCTAGGACCATGGGGCTTTTCACCTTGGGATGTGAATTGCCTGCGGGGATCATCTGGGCACATCTCACTGAATGCTCTGCCACCGCAGGGACCTCAGGGCTTGGTGACATCTCGATCTCTCCTGTTCCCTGCCTGTGGTGCACAGTTTGTATCGGTCGAGAGAAAGTCTTTGAGTTCCACACAAGGGTAATCAGGTGACATTTAATGGCCTCATGACAACATTTACTACACCTCCCCCCCCCTCCCCTGAACCTCACCCTCCCAGGCCGGGGAAGGGGGGTGAGGAAGCGAAGTAGAGCCCAAGGGCTTCTTCCCTGGGTGGGGTAGGGGGGTGTAACCTTAGCCCTAGCTGATGGGGCTTGGTCTTCAGACTTGCTGGGACCTAGGGCCAGCACCAGCCTTAGTGGCCCTATTAAAATGGGGCTGTGACTCATTTTGGGAACCCCTGAACTAAACCTCTGAACTCGGTGGCTCAGCTCACGATCCATTTATTTGTGCTGACAAGTATTTTGCACCATGGTTCATCCCACCAAAATCAATGGGGTTCCTGTAGAGCCAGGTGCTACGCGGTGTGAGCAAAGGTACTTGTATCCAGACCAGTATAGACCCACAAGTATAAGCTCCTTGGGGCAGGAATGTCTTCGTGTACACAGCAGGGTAGTCGTTTATGGCTCAGCTCACGATCCATTTATTTGTGCTGACAAGTATTTTGCACCATGGTTCATCCCACCAAAATCAATGGGGTTCCTGTAGAGCCAGGTGCTACGCGGTGTGAGCAAAGGTACTTGTATCCAGACCAGTATAGACCCACAAGTATAAGCTCCTTGGGGCAGGAATGTCTTCGTGTACACAGCAGGGTAGTCGTTTATATAAGCCAGTGGTCCCCAACGTGGTGCCATGGCGCCCGCCGGGGCATTTCTGTGTGCCCG